TATATATATATATATATATATATATATATATTTTACACGTATGTATGTAACTGGTTATATAGAATAAGGGGACATGCGCACTGTGTGCGCACGTTAGCGAGTTATAATGGTTGGACAATAATTTTTTTCTTGAAATAACAGTGGAAAAAATAAAGTACAGTAGCAGGGTCTGAACATCAGTGCTCTCGCTAGGCTACCACGGCCACGATGCTAATAATTACAAGAATAACATGCGAGCATTTAGTTTGATTAACTTGATCTGGTATTTAAAATCTAACGTTTTAAGTAAACCAACAACGGCCAGCCAAACAACATAAATAAGCACATGTTAACATGATTAAGAATATTTCATAACGTTCATAACTGGCAAGACAGTAACTCGAAAACGTACAATTTTTACACTTTATTAGCACTAACTTAGCAGATAGGAAACAATTCCACGGTTGCACTTCCTGTTGTGGCAGAGCGTGTACCTGACGTCAGTGGCTGAGCGTGCAGATGACTGAGAGTGCACGTTTTGAGCGGCTGCAGCCAGACCCTTTTGCTGCTGTTTGATATTATATGGCACCTTTATTTACCACAGTACAACAATAAATACATGCTAAATATGTTTTTAACTTTTAAAAGAACAAAATCACATTTCGGATCATTTCACTTGAATTAACCTCCCATAGAGGATATTGTTCATTAGCATGCAAAGACATTAGCAGAGACCTTTGCAGGCAAGTTATAATAATTAATTCAAGTGAATATTTTTGTCACATTGCAGTAAAATGCGATTATTATTCATACAGGAGTGTCTTTGTGTTTCTTTGTGTGCTTCTGACATGGCCTGTGACTTTGTAGACCTTGGAGACATCCCTTACAGCTCTTGGGGTGATAACGTCCTTCGGAGAGACATTTGGCTTCCACAGCCCTGCACTCTGCTTAACCTCTCTCCAGCCTCGGGGCAAACACAATCTCCTTCCATCTCGGGAGTGCCACACCTTTTGAAGAACATCTGACATCTGAACAATACTGGAGCTCATGAGAAGCTTGCCAGAGCCTCACAAAAATCTCAGTCTTATCTTGTTCTTTGACTGTGATAAATTATGATCACATAAATGTTTAAGTGCTCACATGTGGAATAACAAGAACGAAACTTTAAACATTAAAGACGTCCTGTGGCCAGGTGCCTGGCTGCACTTCCAGTAACCTCTTACTTACCGTCTGGTGGCTCAGGTTGCAGTATCTCAGGCCGAAATACTCTGTCTCCAACAGGTTAATGTGGCTGAAGACGTGCTCCAGGACGACCAGTCCCTTGGTCGACTTCTGCAAGAAATAATATAGACATTTTGTCTGCTCACTGGGGGAAAACACATTATCTTTCCTAAATAGGAAATGACATATATGTTTTGGCACCCAGTCCAGGGTGTTACCCAGCCTTGTGCCCTGACTGCCGGGAATCGGCTTACACCAATATCTTGGAGGGGATAAATGGATGGAAGACGGATGGATAGATATGGATGGATAGAAAGGACAGAAATCATTACATAGTTGTTTTCACCTACTATACAAATTTTGTGAAACAAAATCTTTTTAATTCAGCGAACAAACTCACTTATAAGAACATAAGAAATTTACAAACGAGAGAAGGCCATGTGGCCCATCAAGCTCGTTTGGGAAGAACTTAAGATTTTAACAACTCTGAGCTATTATCTAGCTCTGATTTAAAGGAACCCATGGTTTCAGCTTGCATTACACTAACAGGAAGACTATTCCATACTCTAACTACACGCTGTGTGAAGAAGTGCTTTCTCAAATTCATTTTAAAATGTTCTCCCGCTAATTGCCACAAGTTCAAGTATTTAAACAAATATTGAAATAGCCATTTGGCTGAACAGCATCCAGACCAATTAGAATCTTATATACCTGGATCATGTCCCCCCTTAGTCTCCTTTGCTCGAAGCTAAACAGATTCAGCTCAGCTAACCTCGCATCATAAAACATTCCTCTAAGACCAGGAATCATTCTTGTAGCCCTAGGTTGCACCCTTTCCAAGGCAGCAATGTCCTTTTTAAGGTATGGTGACCAAACCTGCACACAATATTCTAGGTGGGGTCTTACCAAGGAATTATATAATCGTAGCATCACCTCCCTTGACTTAAACTCCACACACCTAGAGATGTAACCCAACATCCTATTGGCCTTTTTTATTGCTTCCCTACATTGGCGAGAGTGGGACATGGAAACATCAACATACACACCGAGGTCTTTCTCATAATCAGCTTCCTTTATTTCAGTGGAACCCATAAAATATCTGTACTTTATATTTCTGCTCCCTGCATGGATTACTTTACATTTATCTATGTTCAGTTGTACAAGCTGTTGTACTTTTAATTTTATTAATACAAAACATATAAGTCAGGCAAATAACATTACAAACATACGGCTGTCAAGGAGTCGAATAGGCATCTAGAATGAGCTCCCAAGAGAATGCCCAGGTATGAGTGTAAGCAGTACTGAGGCAGGAGCTAGACATTTACCAAACATAGTAAGATCTTTCTAAGCAACTATTCACATCAGCTGAAAGTGAGACTTTAAGAGTGTTCTGGAAGCACTGTTCAGTGTTTTGCACACTTAATGGTTAAAGATGGGTGCCTTAGCATCATCTGTGACACTATAGGACCTGTCAGTGGAGAGCCGCCCCAATGATGCAATAGAAACCTGAACCTGGAAGGAGATGGACCCGAGGCTGTGGGAGGCCCCGGCAGAAGTGCTGAGCTCCCTCGCTGCTTATTATGTCAGTAAATCAGCACCGCAGCACCGAGCCCCAAGCATAAAATCCATGGACTGGCAGTGGGGGCGGCACCCCAACCTGCCCCCCCCCCACTGATAAGAGGTTTCCAGCAGTTCGGAGGTGATGCCACAAACCTAGGAATCCCAAATGCTATAATCAATCAGCCTGGTCACAGTGTCCCCTGAGCAAGCTAAACTAGAAACTGGTATTTACTTTCATTTCCATCATTTTATGTAATTCCATTATACAAAGTTCTTTTGGTGGCTGGCATGAAAATCCTATGAAAATCCGACCTGCCACTGGCATACAGAGATGAATGTTGTGTCTAGGCCGGTCGCGATAAATGATAAATCAATTAATTGCACACTAATTAAAATGAGGTCGATAATTTTACCGTCCACGATAATTTTCATTTGCATGCTTGTTTGTTTTCCTCGTGTCTCTCTCTACCAAATGGGAATATCAGTTCTTTTTAGCAAACCGGCTCATTTGGCTCATCTCACCAAGAAGAGTCGGTGTTCTGTCGAGTTGAGCTACTTTGTCGAGTTAGGCTACCGTAGTGCTAATCGATATCCCTAACCCTAACTCTTACCCTAACCCTAACCCCCAAAAAACCCCTAAAACCCTTACCTTAACCATAACCCTAACCCCTAAAACCTAACCCTAATCCTAAAACGGTGCACATGCGCAGAAAGGCTCGATAGCACGTCTCAATAGGTAGCTGAACTCGTCAGAACACCGGCTCATTCGGCTCCTAAACGGCTCTTTTTTAAAAAAAAAACTGCCCCTCTCTTCGTTTAACCTGATGCTGATTAGCGTGACCTGATTTGAGCTTGTTAAAAATAAGACACCATCTCGTGGGCGGGCTTTTTCGGAAGACAACGTATTCCAGCCACTGTCGTCCTTAATGTTTAGGCAGCTCAAAAACCCGGACAATTCTATAACATTAATAAAACGGCTCTTGAACAGGAGCCGGCTCCCATCGTTCACTAAAAAAAGAGTCGGCTCAAAGAGCCGTCTCGTTCGGAAACGACACATCACTAGTAATGAGGTGTGAACTCTCGTGTTAGTGGGCTCTTTGCACGTCAGCTTCCACGTACATGGAAATGCGGCTCTCTCATTTCCCGTCTGTGAAAAATGGCATTGGTTTATACATGCCGTTTACAGGACTTGCCCAAACTTATAATCAATGACGTACATCACTTGTGTAAATCCTTCTCCAAAGTACCAACGAGTAAATTAGAGAAGGGCTTTAAGATGTTTGCCTTGTCTTACATCCACGGATACGAAGGGGAGTCTTATTCGTATACTTTGTGGCTGGCGTTAGCTATAGCTTACGCTAATAGACGTTACTTCCGGACAGTGATAGTGTATGCATGTGGCAATGAACATCCCCAATCATTCTAGCGGAGAGTGTTTAACTTAGTATGTTCTATATGTGTTTAAGTACACATTGCGTTAATCTGTGTTTGCTATACTTAGTGTCAAACAGAAACACGGGAACAGGAGAGGTTGCTGCTTCAGATCCATGAAGAAGCACGACAGACATCATAGTGTAAAAGTATGGCAGCACTGGTAATTTGTCAGAGTTCTAATTAAAGCTGCTCAATATTCAGATTTGTGTTATATAGACTCATCAAAGCTTATGATAAACCGCCATAAAACGAGCCAAGGAGATACTGCAGCGAACGCTTTCAGTCAATGTTGTGAAAATACGCCGTATAAATAAAATTGAATATTTAGGTAGGCTACAGTGTTATACTGTATTATATAGCATATTTTAATTATACACAGTTCAGTTATTTAATTTGTACAGTACTGTAATTTGAAAAGCGTTTGAAACGGTTGTACTATATTTTGCAATCAAAATTAGTGATGCTGTCCGTTTTCTTACCTGTTATTCATGTAAGAAATATACACGTGTCAGTTAGACTGAGACATGAAGAAAAAATCGGTTATGATGATCATCCGATTATAATTATCAATTTCGCCCAGGCAGATGTGTTCACTATAAGCGGTAAAGTAAAATGTGGCAATAAAGTATATGAAATGTGAGTATAAATATGTTGGATTTGCCGAATTTCCCAGAGGTGTGCGTGGAAACTTAAAACTCGATTGTATTTTGAGGACGTGGTGCACTTAGGAAATTGTTATTGTTTTTTTAGCTTCTGAAACACAAGTTTATCCTTTCTTGTGCTCATAGTTACTCACATCTTAATTAAACCGTCTTTATTCTTGACTTTAATTAGTTTATCAACAGTAATGATACAGTAGCGTTTAATTGGTCCAACTAATAAGTAGAGGAGTTATGAAAGGCTTCAGGACAGTATATCGTGAATCAGGGGGCTCGATGAAATTACGTAAAATAAGAGTGTTTAGGTAATAACAGCTGTTTTCAGTGAATCACTGTAAAGTATCTCAAAGTAGAGGACAGCTATTATTGTATGTATGGTATACAGGGAAAGCCATTCATTACTTGCTCATTATATATCGAGTGACAGCCTTATACACCTACAATGAGCACTAGGACGTTAAAAATCAGTTTATTAATGTTGTTATTATCATAAACATCATTATTAGGTGCAGTGAAGTTGATGTTGACTTCTGGAGAAAAACTACAGCTCTAAGCCATGTTTTCAGAAGGAACACAAGGCCTAAGGAAGACATTCAACCATGTCTATGGTAACTGTAGTTAAAACATGCAGCAAACAATTAAGCAGATGCATGTGTGATTTACTAAGGTTGACATGTGGGTATTACAATTACCTTTAATGTCTGTTAAATAATGGTTTCATTATAGATCTTTTGGGGGGTGCATTTTGGCCAAATGCCACAGGCATTTTGCCACGCCCTCCCAACTAGCAGGGTAATGAACCAAGATCATTATAGATGACTTTGTGTGTGAGTATGGCACGGCCACAATCTGTATTCTCAGATAAGATTAGATCCAAAATCCTGAGATTTTAAAAGAAAGGGACAAATATTAGAATAAGGCAGGCAGTCATGTGTGTCTGCTCTACAAATATCTTCAAATGTTAAGGCAATTGCCAAACCGGAATGGAATTCCACTGTTCCCAAAAGACACCACAAAGAACACGAAGCCTGAATATAATAACAAATTAATTTGGCTTAATCCTTGGCTGTAAGAAGAAGTGAGGCAGAGAGGCAGCCCACAGTCTGAGCTTTTACAATAAGGTCCCTTTCCAAGCAAACTTTGATGTCATGATCCTTTCTGAAAATCACGCCAAAGGGATGATTAGAGCACAAGTGAATTCACAGAATAACTCGCATTCCTTTGTTTGGGGCCCATTTGACCTTTTTCTATGAATTCAGATTGGTGGAGTTTTACTACTGACTGAATAATGGTTATAATTGCAGGCTAACAGTAACATGACCTAATGCAAGTCTTCACAGAGTGACCCCAGTACCCTTGTAGACAACAATCAAACAAGATACAATCCTTACTTCTCACTTTGCATGTGTGTATTCTGATGCGTACACTGGTCTCTCACTCTCCTGTTTTACTCCCTAA